TAAAGCAACCCCCAACGGCGCATTAAATTGTCTTTAGCTGGTTCTAGTCGTGTTTCCATGCTGCCTCCCCAGAGCCCTCCTGCAATCAGATAGCAGCACCAGGGGCTGTTTAGATCAGTCATTCCCCAGTGTGGTTCCCCAACACAGGGAACTTTGACTCTCGAAAGCTTATTCCCGGGACATTTTGTTGGTCTCTAAGGCGCTACTGGACTCAAATCCTGGCTCTTCTACTGCAGACCAAACAGACTAACCAGAGCCAGTTTGGTGTAATGGTTAGGAGCGCAGACTCTAATGGGGGAGAACCAGATTTGAGTCCAGTAGAGCCTTAGAGACCAACAAAATTTCCCGGGAATAAGCTTTCGAGAGTCAAAGTTCCCTGTGTTGGGGAACCACACTGGGGAATGACTGATCTAAACAGCCCCTGGTGCTGCTGTTCGATTGCAGGAGGGCTCTGGGGAGGCAGCATGGAAAATCTCCTAAATGAAATAAGTAGATCAGTCGGTTCTCTGCTGTACGGCCTTGTGATATTCTTCTCTTCAGGTTGCTGTGAATTTGCCACGTTCTTAGAGGCTCCCGTGTCTTGAGCCAGAATCCCGTAGGAGAAGGAGAAGTATTGGAAGAGCGCTGCCTGAAATTTGTTTCCTGTTGTTGTTTTCCCTCCCTTAGCTGCCAATTCTAGATAAGATCAGAATTATCGCACGGACGATATACGGGGCAGACGATGTTGAATTGCTGCCAGAAGCGGAGCAGAAAGTGATTCTGTACACTAAGCAGGTAAGCTGGCAAACACCGGGGTTGTTTTCTCAGAATAAATGCAAGTTCTGATCGTGTCATGCCCAAGCTGAGTTGGGCACCGCTGCAGCAGTAGTGTTTTCGCTGAAAAGGAAGCCACCATGGGTTTTGAACTCACTCTTCCTTCTCTCATCTCTTAGAGAACATTGATAATTAGTACGATTGCCAGCCCCCATGTGGGAAAGTATAATCCAGAGAGATCCACAGGAACGAGGTATAAATTAAAAAAAAATACAAGAACTGTGAAGTTCAGTGGCTAAGGGTATGGGAAAGAAATACAAAGTCAAATAGTCCTACATTATATCAGGTGAAGATGTATAAAATTTTCCACAGATGGCTGATTAAGTGAAAGGTATAAGAATATGACAGGTATTTGTGGTTATAAAAAGTGAAAATACTGAATTTGGATTGATAACTGAAAAAGACAGACATAATTATGCCTTTAAATCAGAATTGTACTTTCATATGTGTTGTAATAACAGTAGGAATATTGGTTGTTGAAAATTGAAAATTAGAAAATCTCCCTCTAGGGAAAAATTTATATATAAATTATTAGAAGTGGTTGAATTGGAAAACAAATTGCTATGTTATAATTCAAAAAGAATGAGCCTACTCTTTTTTGACAATGTACAATGTACAATGTGGAACTTATAGAGAGACGGGGGGGGAATCACAAACTGTTACGTTTCTAAACTAGACTATGATGTAAATAGAACTTGGTGTTTAATGGAAGAAGATACTCTGTACAATGATATACTTTGAGAAAAGCTTGTAAATTATTCTTTTTCTCTCTTTTTTTGAAAAAATAAAAAGGTTATTAAAAATATATTTTCTTATTATAGTGCATGTGTCTCTACAGCAGTACATATCATAATCACAATAATTCATTATTACTATCAACAGTCCATTCTAATGATGAATGAAAGTGCCTTTAAGTTTTCTTTTCCAAGATTAAAATGCTTGTGCTGTAGTAAACCGTCCTGTGTCCTTTGTCCTTTCAAAACCAGTAATTGTGGATGATTTATGGACGTTCTAATAGAACCTATGGACAAAATGGAGTGGACAAAAATATAACAAGCGCCATTTTCACAGGAGGAAAGATTTATATATATTTGAATTTTGTCCGTCTTTGGATGATATTGGGATATATGGATTTTGTTCCGTTCCCTCTTTGAGAAAGCTGAGAAGAAATGGAATTAAAGGTCGACAAGTCCATTAGAGGCTCCATTAGAAACGTCCATAAATCATCTACAGTTACTGGATTTGAACGAACAAAGGACACAGGACCATTTACTACAGCACAAGCACTTCAATCTTGGAAAGAACACTCACAGGCACTTTCATTCGTCATTAGAATGGATTGTTGATGGTGATAATGAATTGTTTGGTGTACAGCCAGTTTGGTGTAGTGGTTAAGTGCGCGGACTCTAATCTGGGAGAACCGGGTTTGATTCCCCACTTCTCCACTTGCAGCTGCTGGATGAACTTTGGCAAGCCGTAGTTCTGATAAGAGCTGTTCTTGAAAAAAGAGCATTTTCTGTCAGAGCTCTCTCAGCCCCACCTGTGTCTGTGGTGGGGAGGGGAGGGGAAGGGAAAGGAGTTTGTAAGCCGCTCTGAGAGACCTTTGGGGAGTGAAGGGCGGGGTATAAATCCAATCTCTTCTTCTTTTACCTCACAGGGTGCCTGTTGTGGGGAGGGGAAGGGAAAGGAGTTTGTAAGCCGCTCTGAGAGACCTTTGGGGAGTGAAGGGCAGGGTATAAATACAATCTCTTCTCTTCTTCTTCATCTTGTTTATTGTGATTAAGATACATACTGTTGTAGAGACATATGCACAATAATAAGAAAATATTGAAGTATTGAACTTTCCATAGTTACAATTTCATCGTTCTTGTATTTTTTTTATTAAACTTTCATGTGGGGCCAGGAGATCTCCCTGAATTGCAACTGGCCTCTGTTCCCCTGGAGAAAATCAAAATATACGAAAAAGGACCACGGTGTTCCATGGCTAGTATAGAAAAGAATGCCACTCTGTTAAGAATAAGATACCGATTATTTATAGTGGTTATCTGTCATTCAGTAATCTTTCCAAGTATTATTTTTACAAAGCTATACAATTAAAGAGTTAGCACAACACTCTAAAGGTAAGTACAAAGGTTGCTGAAGTCTCTGATTAGGTATGTTAATATTAATTTTATTTATAGTTCCATGTGACGTTTTGGCATTGTACGCGACTTTGAGGAAGTTTACGAAAATGTGCCTGCACCAGTAGCACGTTTGGTTGCTGGGAAGCTGGAGGGATCTCTTCAGAAATCGGGAAGAAAAGGGGGGGAAAACTAATAAGAGACTTCAGCAACCTTTGTATTTATTTGTTTATTAAATTTTTAGGCCGCCCCCTCCCCTGCGAGCAGGGCTCAGGGTGGCTTACAACAGGGACATGCAATAAATATTTAAGTTTTAAATATTTGGTGTAGGGGTTAAGTGTGTGGACTGTAATCTGGAAGAACCGGGTTTGATTCCCCACTCCTCCACTTGCACCTGCTGATGTGACCTTGGGTCAGTCACAAGCTCTGGCACAGCTGTCCTTGAAAAAGAGCAGTTTGTGTCAGAGTTCTCTCAGCCCCACCCACCTCACAGGGTGTCTGTTGTGGGGAGGGGAAGGGAAAGGAGTTTGTAAGCTGCTCTGAGACTCCAAGTGAAGGGCAGGGTATAAATCCAATCTCTTCTTCTTCTCTTCTTCTTAAAAAATTAGCTCAAAAAGAAAACAACAGTCCTTAAAAAAATGTATCAATTCCAAGATGGCTAACAGTCAGGGTTCCTAATCTGGCAAATCGCAGACCTCCCAGAAGAGACTTGTAAAAGATGGGAGGAGAGACATAGGCAGAAGACGGGTATGGGGGTGCCAGGTCACCTAATTATACCATCGCTGTCCTCAGCCAAGAAGCCTGACAGAGCATCTCTGCCTCACACGCCCTGCGGAGAGGTAACAAATCCCACAGGGCTCGGATGTTCTCAGGCAGAGAGTTCCCCCAAGTCAGGGCCAGGGCCGAGAAATCCCTCGCCCTGGTTGAGAACAGCCAGATCCCTCTCAGGCCAGGGACCACCAGGAGGGTCGTACTTCCCAAGCATACCGCACTTCTGGAAGGTCAGTAGTTCAGCAGTTCGAGACCTGAGTTGCCACATGACGGACTGAGCTCCCGTCTCTAGTTCCAGCTCCTGCCAACCTAGCAGTTCGAAAGCAAGAAATTGCAAGCAGATAAATAGGTACCACTTCGGTGGGAAGGTAACAGCGTTCCGTGCGCCTTGGTGTTTAGTCATGCCGGCCACATGACCACGGAAACGTCTTCGGACAGCGCTGGCTCTTCGGCTTTGAAACGGAGATGAGCACCGCAACCCTAGAGTCAGATTCGACTGGCTTTCGAGCAAGGGAACCTTTACCTTTACCTTACTACCCCTTTAAGAATTGCTTATCTTTGTAAGAATAACACTTAGGAAGATTACTGGATGTTAGATAACCACTATAAACAGAAGCATTGTGTCCAGAACACGGGAGGTGGTAGTTCCGCTCTATTCTGCTATGGTCAGGCCCCACCTGGAGTCCTGTGTCCAGTTTTGGGCACCACATTTTAGGAAGGATGTTGACAAGCTCGAGCGTGTCCAGAAGAGGGCAACCAGGATGGTGAGAGGGTTGGAATCCAAGTCTTACGAGGAAAGGCTGAAAGAGCTGGGTATGTTTAGCCTGGGAAAGAGAAGGCTTAGAGGAGACATGATTGCAGTCTTCAAGTATTTGAAGGGCTGTCATGTAGAAGATGGAGCAGATCTATTCTCTCTTGCTCCGGATTGCAAGACTAGATCTAATGGGTGGAAATTACAAGGGAGTCGATACCGGCTAAATATCAGGAGAAACTTCCTAACTGTAAGAGTGGTTGAGCAGTGGAACAGTCTGCCTCGGGAGGGGGTGGATGCTCCTTTGCTGGACGTTTTCAAGCGGAGGCTGGATGACCATCTTTCGGGGATGTTGTAGGGCTATCTTTCGGCTATGCTCCTGCAGAGTGCAGGGGGTTGGACTAGATGACCTGCAAGGTCCCTTCCAACTCTCACATTCTATGATTCTATGAAATAATTGGTATCTTATTCTTAACACGGTGGCATTCTTTTTTATACTGCCCCTGGAGAAAATGGCTGCTTGGGAGGGTGTCCTCTGTGGCATCCTACCCCGCTGAGGTTTCTCCCACCCCAGACTCCACCCTCCAAGATCTCCAGGAGTTTTCCAATCAGGAATTGGCAGTCCTAATTAATGAGGACTTGGTTTCTCCTGAACGTGGGTCTTCGACTCACGGTGGAGAGGAGCAAAGATCCCACGACGCAGCAAAAGTCCCGTGATATTGCGTTGCAGAAGTATTGAGGAAGGCCTGTGTTTCGGTTGTAGAATAAACACTTCTGAAAGTATCTTTATAGACACTTCATTTTACATGTTATAACAGCAGCTAGAATCTTATTTGCAACGACACTGAAAATCCCAGCACTTAATGAGTTGATAACGAAGATTATGGAATGTGCTGAAATGGACAGACTGACAAATACACTAAAAGGGAAAACGGAAGAAGAATTTATGGGACCAGGGAGGGTGTTCTATGACTGGTTAAAGCATAAATACTGAGAAACTAAGACTAAATGCAGAACAATAAGAAAGACGGTTATAATAGTTGTGAAACTTTTATGAGAAGATTTGCATGCAGAACGTCAAATTGGGAGCCAGTTTGGCGTCGTGGTTAAGTGCGCGGACTCTAATCTGGGAGAACCGGGTTTGATTCCCCACTCCTCCAGTCGCAGCTGCTGGATGACCTTGGGCAAGCCGTAGTTCTGACACAGCTGTCCTTGAAAAAGAGCAGTGTCTGTCAAGAGCTCTCTCAGCCCCACCTCCCTCACAGGGTGTCTGTTGTGGGGAGGGGAAGGGAAAGGAATTTGTAAGCCGCTCTGAGACACCTTTGGGTAGTGAAGGGCGGAGTATAAATCCAACCTCTTCTTTTCTTCTTCTTTTATAACTCTGTATTCTTTCCCCCTTTCTATATATAAACTTATAAAACTTCATTTTAAAAAACGCTTCTGAAAGGATGGGTTCAATTTCAGGCAAAGATCTCAGCAGACACTTGAGTTCCAAATCGCTGGAATCAAATTTGTCTGTGGGAAGCCTCTTGTAGAACAAATCACAATATTAAGTAGTGGCAGAGCTGGGACAATTTCGCTCAAAGCCACAATGTACACAGCATTACCTGTGTCCCGTTCATAATAGCCGTCCCCGGTGATGATTCTTTTCCTTTAGTTTCCCTTAGTTACTAGATGGGGAAGAAAAGAAGGGTACCTATGATTGACAGACACAGTCTGGCAGGCTGTGGATGAATGACTCAATCAGTGATAGGACCGTTCTGTTTAGATCGAGGGTGACAGAGCCGAAGAAACTTAATTGGAGCAATTACATAGTGTTTTACTGGCAAGCGCCGCTCAAATGCCGTCCTGTTCTTTCTCGACTTCACCTCGTCTTTCCATCTCACAGGGGTTTGGAAACTTGCCCGTCTGCATGGCAAAAACCCACCTGTCGCTGTCCCACGACCCAGAACAAAAGGGAGTGCCCACGGGTTTCATCCTGCCCATCAGAGACATCAGAGCCAGCGTGGGTGCAGGATTCTTGTATCCATTAGTAGGAACGGTGAGTACCCTGTACTGGAAGGCTCATAAGGACATAAGAGAAGCCAATGTTGGATCAGGCCAATGGCCCATCCAGTCCAACACTCTGTCAGACAGTGGCATTGATAAATGTTGGATTGATAAATGTTGGATCGCATAGTATGGGGATCCCAGGGGGGTCTGTGACTACTTCGTCCTCCTTGCCCACCTCTGTGGATCCAGCTGAGACCCTGGGAATGGCAAAGTCCTCAGATGCAGAGAGAGGGAGGGGGCCCCTTGTTCCTTGGTTTGGTGTAGTGGTTAAGAGCAGCGGACTCTAATCTGGGAGAACCGGGTTCGATCCTTCACTCTTCCACATGCAGCTGCTGGAGTGACCTTCGCTCAGTCACAAGTTCTCTCAGAGCTGTTCTCTCAAGGGCAGTTCTCTCAGAGCTCTCTCAGCCCCACCCACCTCACAGGGTGTCTGTTGTGGGGAGGGGAAAGGAAAGGAGATGGTAAGCCACTCCGAGTGAAGGGCGGGGTATAAATCCAATTTCCTCCTCCCCCCCCCTTCCATCTTTTGTCTTCCCAAGTTTTGCCTCCACAGCCTGGAGAAGACCTGGTGTTTTCTCCTTGGCCTGCCATTTGGACCCGTATATGGACTAGACTTCATTGTGTGCAGGCCCATCAAGCTCCCCTGGCCTCCCACACCTGTCCCCCGTTTGCTTGACAGCCCAGCCAGTCACAGCTGCTCAGGGATGTAGGGATGTAGTGTGATAATTCACTGTCAGAAGGTGTCGTGATGGCCACAGAAACAGACAGCTTTAAAAGGGGATTAGATGGAGCCATGAAGGAAAAGTCTCATCAGTGGCTACTAGCCGTGGTGGCTGAGGGGAACCTCCACGTTCACAGGCACTAAACCTCTGAATCCCAGAGCCAGGACGCAACCTCAGGGGAAGGCCTCGGCCTCTGTGCCCTGTTGTTGGCCCTCCAGAAGAACTGGTTGGCCCGGGATCCAGTAGAAACATAGCAGCATATTTTGAGCCTGAATGTTAATTGAGATACAGTGTCCTATCTGAATTTAATATTCTTAAGACTTGTTGTCTAACATTTGTGAAACTGAAAGCTTTGGCACCACTATAATATCTCCTGAAGAAGATTCATTTTTTGAAACGTTGTGTAATCCGGAGACGACGTCGTGTATCATGTCATAGTGCTTTAGATTGTAATACATAAACAGCATTCTTTATAAGTCTTATGACTGTTTGATTGTGGGTCAGACTATCACGACTGTTGGTTTTATACTTGTTTAACTGGCCCCTGTGTGTGGCAGGAGAGTGATTCAAATGTGGAATTCACTGCTGGAGGATGTTGTGATGGCCGCAGGAATAGACAGCTTTAAAAGGGGGATTAGACAGATTCATGGAGGAGAGGTCTGTCAGTGTCTCCTAGCCTTGGTGGCTGAGGGGAAACTCCAAATTCAGAGGCACTAAGCTTCTGAGAATCCCAGAGCCAGGAGGCCACATCAAGGGAAGGCCTCGGTTTCTGTGCCCTGTTGCTGGCCCTCCAGGGTAAATGGCTGGCCGCTGTGTGAAACAGGAATGGATGCTGGACTAGATGGACTAGTCTGATCCAGCAGGGCTCGTCCGATATTCTTATGGATAGATTCATGGAGGATAGGTCTATCAGTGGCTACTTGCCATGGTGGCAGAGGGGAACCTCCACATTCAGAGGCAGTCAGCCTCTGAGTCCCAGAGCCAGGAGGCAACATCAGGGGAGGCCCCTCCATGCCCTGTGGTTGGCCCTCCAGAGGAACTGGCTGGCCACTGTATGAGACAGGATGCTGGACTAGATGGACCCCTGGTCTGATCCAGCAGGTCTCTTCTTATGTCTTACACTGGGTCAGCTCATGAATCCATCTAGCCTGGGTCTTATTAGCAGGGAATTACAGAGGAGGGTGGCGTTAATATTAAACAGCAGTCCAGCAGCACCTTTAGAGACAAACCAGATGTATCCTGGCAGACGCTTTCCTGACTCAGAGCTCGCGGCACCAGATGCACAAAGCATACATCAGCAGCCGATCTGTATGCTCCCTGCATCTGATGTGCCATCTCAGTGTAGTCTGGATTCTTTTTTTCTTTTCTTTTTTTTGGTCACAGTCTGCATTGGCTTCCTCGAAACTGCCAGTCCGTCTGCCAGTCCTGATCAAAGGCTGTGTGTATCCCACGTGGGGGATAATAAAGTAGACTTCTTCAGGCAAGCCCGATTCCATCAGATCTCGGAAGCCAAGGAGGGCCGACTCTGGGAAGTACTTGGATGGGAGACCTCTTTGGAATACCAGAAGAGGGAGGCGGGGGCAGGCTTTATTCAGCCACCTCTCTGAATATCCTTCAGGCTCCCAGTAGGGGTCAGTCACCAGAGGTCGGCCGTGACTTCCAGGTACACACACACTCACGCGCGCACACACACACGCACATATGAAAAATGTGCAGGCTTTTCATTTAAAAGCCAGGCTTTTAATTAGGAGCCGCCACTACCACCAACAACAACTATTTGGTGGTAACAACGGGGTGATGGGATGGCCCAGTATAAAGATCTCGCTACAGTATTGCGATGGGGTCGGGGCCGCTGAAGCAGGCTTTGGGTACCTCTATGGGTCACCATCTGATGCGATGGATTTGATCCAATTGGTAACATCGCTGAGCACATTATTATTGTTATGGTTGATTGTATGCTGTTTTTAATGTTTTATTTGGCACACGTTGCCCTTATTTGTAAGCCGCCCTGAGCCCGTTCGCGGGGAGGACGGGATATAAGTGTGATAATAAATAAATAAATAAAATACAAATAATAATAATAATGTAGATGCGTTGACCTGGATATCCCAGACTAGCCTTATCTCAGAAGCGAAGGCTTGGTTGGTACTTGGATGAGAGAGAGACCACCAAGGAAGTCTAGCGTCACCATGCAGAGGCAGGCCGCGGCAGGCCACCCCTGTTCATCTCAAAGCCTCCAAGGCTGCAACTGGACAGCCCTTTCCACCAGCACTCTGTCCTGCCTTGCGTGGCCCAGGCTAGCCCGATCTCATCAGAGCTTGGAAACTAGGCAGGGTCGGCCGTGGTTAGTACATAGATGGGAGACCACCAAGAGACTCCGGGGTCATTGTGCAGAGGTAGGCGATGGGAAACCACCACTGTTCATAGAATCCATGGAGCTGGCAGGGACCTCCAGGGTCATCCAGTCCAGCCCCCTGCACAATGCAGGGAATTCACAAATACCTCCCCCTCCACACCCCCAGTGGACCCGTCTTCCACGCAGCCCCGTAGCTAGGGGATTTTTTGGGAGGGGGCCTTCGGGGGCCGCCAGCTAATTAAACCAAAGCACAATGCAGGTGGCATGTCGGGGCACTTTGGAGGCAGCCCAGGAAGGAGGGGGCCCAGAAGAAAGACTAGGGGGCCAGGCCCTGTGGGCCCCATGTTAGCTACGGGCCAGCTTTCACGCCCAGAAGATGACAAAAAAAAAACCCTCCAGGATCTCCAGCCAAATTGGCCTCCTGATCCCCCAAAGTGGCGATCAGCATTTCCCTGGGTGTGTAAGAAAGGGCCACGAGAACGAAGCACCGAGGCAACCCTCCCTGCCCTCCCTCTCGTGATCTGCCTCAGTTCACACAACCAGCATTGCTGTCAGGTGGCCACCCAGCCTCGGTTTGAAAACCTCCAAAGAAGGTTTCTTCTGTCATGAAAACCCTACGGGGCTGCCGCTCAGTGGCACTTCCCGCCCCCATTTTGCCCCGACCTGGAATGGCCCAGGCGAGCCCAAATCTTCTTAGATCTCAGGAGCTAAGGCAGGTCAGCCCTGGTGAGCACTAGGACGGGAGACCTTCGAGGGCTGCGATGCAGAGGCAGGCAAGGGCAAAACGGCCTTCTCTTTCTCTCAAAGCCCCACAGGCCCACTGTGAGTCAGCTGTGACTGGATCTTCCACCACCACCATTTTGCCCCGACCTGGATGGCCCAGGCGAGCCTGATCTCATCAGATCGCTGAAGCTAAAGCAGGCACTGCCAGGGAAGTCCAGAGTCACTACAGAGAGGCGGGCAATGGCAAGCCACCTCTGAACGTCTCTTGACTTGGAAACCAGTGTTCCCTCCAGGGCTTTTTTTGTAGAAAAAGCCCAGCAGGAACTCATTAGCATAATAGGCCACACCTAACAGCAGAAATTCATTAGCATATTAGGCCACACCCCCGACAGCACAGCTCATTAGCTTATTAGGGCACACCCCATGACGTCCCTTGGCTTGCCCAGGCAAGCCCCCCCCCCCAAAGGGAATGCGGTTTAAACTGCCTTCCCTTGGCTTTTCCCGGGACCCGCGGCTGTGGGGAGCCCGGGCAAGCTGGCCCTTGGAGGGGAGGCAGTTTAAACTGCCTTCCCTTGGCTTGCCCTGGCTCCCCGTGGCTGAGGGGAGCCCGGGCAAG